TTCCCAAGGCTGTGACAACTGGGAGAGGGTGGAGGGGGTGTGGGCTTCAGGATGCCGCCCCAGGCTGGAAAAAGCCCTCACCTGCGCCCGCCCGTGACCTGCCCAGCCGGCGCCAGATGCTAAGCTGGGAAGGAGAGGACGTTTATAGAGATGGGCAGGGTTGGGTAGTGTCTACCAAGGGTGGGGGAAGGCTCCCCCGTGGTTAAAGATTATCCTGTGTTCCGGATGTGGGACTCCAGACACACAGACGCCAGGCCAATGGCTTCTGCTTCAGAGGAGGCCCCTGGGCCAGTGCTAAGGCCCGGCCTGGGTTCCCTGCGCTGCCGACCCTGCGGGTGGTAGGTGACCCCAGGGGCTCCTCACCTGGCCCCTGTCCTCCTAGGTAGTGGTCCCAGCATGCTCTGTTCGTCCCACGTGCCCTTCTCATGGGCCTCTCACAGTGAGCGCAGATCCAGTCCTGCTTCCTCCAGTATGCCTCCCCTGACCCATTCTGAAACATATGGCAGGGGCTCAGGCCCACCTGGTCTGTATTCCAAAGCACCCTGTGGGACAGAAGGTTCAGTAGGGACCCCAGGGAGTGGATCTAGGACACACGGATCCGTACAAGGGAAGTTTTTCTAAGTCAGTTATTCAGCCTGGTGTAACCCCAGCATTTAGGGGGCTGAGGCAGGAGGATTGCCACAAGTTCTAGGCCAGCCTGGGCTACAAAGCATGACCCTGTCTCAAACAAGACAAAACAAAACCAACCAGTCAGCTATTCAGACATGGGAGCTAGGTGGCCAGGGAGTGGTGAGCTTCCTGTTCTCAGAGGCATTCTAGCCACAGTTGACAAAACTGGCAGGAATCAGTGGATTTCCTAGTTCCTTAGCTCCTTAGTTCCTCTAAAGTCAGGTCTAATCCCAAATGGCTAGACACCTCCAAGCTAGAGCCTCCTGCTGGCTACTAGCCTAGGGGCCAGAGTCCCCACCTCTCCCTCTATCTCCCTGCCCACCCAGGCACACAGTGGGTCAGTGAGTAGAGGGAAGGCGCTTCTGACCCTGGGCCCCCTGCTCTTACAGGGCCAGGTTATTTCTGTTCTGGCCCAAAGCACCTACAGAGCCACCACTGGGCACCAGAATAGGCCGTAGCTGAAGGCTGGCGAATGCCGTTCTGGAAGAGGGGACAAGTGGCCAAGCCAGCTGCCACCTTGTGCTGCCTCATCTCTATCGTAGACACTTCCTGGGGGGAGACTGTCCCTGGCCCCAATTAGGTAACCAGTTGCTTCCAAGTTGCTTCCAAGGGCTGCCTCGCGGCTCGGGATTCCGGGTTGCCTCACCATCTTGGGCTGAGGTTGGTCCTTGCATCCTCCCAGGCCTGGGGGCAGAGTGCCCTGAGCCCATCTCAGTGTGGGCTTGCTTGGCGAAGACTTTGGCCGTGGTCCCCTCTGCAGAGGGCTCTCCACTGTCCCAGCTGCGTCTATTTCAGGGTATACAGCTGGGCCCCTGACGGGGTGGTTATTTGGGAGCTGGCCAGGCCCGGCAGCTGCTCCCATGGGCTGGAGGGCACATGGGGCAGGGAAGGCGCCTGGGCTGGCCCCATCCGCAGGGCCTCGGCCCCTGATCAGCTTTTCCCAGTGGTGCTGCCAGCTCCACAGCACTTGCAGCACGGCCAAGGGGCTGCTCTGGGAATGTCCGCTCTCCATGGCCTCTCCCTTCCTTCCTGCCTGATCTCCACTTCTGGGCTGCTGCGTTCTGGTCTTCATTCAGTGCTCTCACTCTGAGCAGTTTCCTGGGTGCCTGTCCCGGCTGCTGTGAAGTCCTACATTAGGGTTCTGAAAGTGGTCAGGTGGGTAACCAAGGAGAGTGGATGTCCTGGAGTTGGGTAACCAAGGAGACCTGAGGGCTTCTGGGTGCCAGGGGCTCCACTGAGGCCCTGACCTCAGCCACAGCATCTCAAAGCAGGTGTCCCTGCTCCATTTCCAGGGGAGCCACCAGACACCACAGGGATCCGCTTGCCTGAGGAGGCCAGCCACATGCTGAGCTGTGCATTTGAAACCAGGCTGGGGCTCACCAGGGCCCATTCCTCTGAGATGTGCGGAATGCAGACTGCTTTAACAACTGGGCGTTTTGTTTGTTTTGTTTTTAAAGGCAGAGTCTTGCTCTGAAGTCCAGGCTGGGCTTGAACTGCAGTCCTCCTATGAACCCCTCTGTGTACTGGATTATAGGTGTGCACCACCATGTCTGATGACCTCAGCGACCACTGCATCGTTACTAGCTAAGGGTCGCGGTAGGCCGGGTCCTTCCTCTCCTGGGTGCCCAGTGGACCATGCTGCATTTTGTTCCCCAGCAGCCCTTCTAAGGGGAAGATCAGGACACAGGCTGTGCAAACCCAGAGGTACAGCTCTCACTGCTGAAGACAAGAGACTCACAAGGTTAGGCTGCTTGTCCAGGATCACAGGGCCCTGTCACAATGAGTGGGCGGTCAGCATACGGACCCAGGCTGGCCCTTGCTCTGCTCCTATCCCACCTACCAGTACATGGACTCCGCTTCCTAAGGACACCCAAGGACTCTTGGGCTGCATGATTAGATGTACAGCACATGTCACTGGTGGTGACAGCCACACTGCTCCTTGAGGTGGTGGACACATCAGGAGCACTGTTAGGACCTGCTGAGTGTCTAAGAGGGGGAAAGGTGTGGGGTACCCTGAGTATTCCCCGGGGACAGTGCTTGCAGGACGGAGTGGATAGCCCAGGAAGTGGCGGGTTCCAGTGTACGGGAAGGAGGCTCTGAAAGACGCTGGCGCAGCGGAGGGCAGGCTGTCTGGGTATTGAGGACGCCTGGGTCAGGAGACCCGGACAGCTTGCAGCCAGCCCTGCTCAGAAAGCCCGTGACAGCCTTGTCCCGTAGGCCCTGGCTGCACATTCTGAGCCTCTTGATTCCCTGTTCTCCCTGATGCTCTCCTCTGCTGCTCTCCTCTTCCAATGCTCTCCTCTTCCAATCTGCTGGAGTCCCTGAGGGTGTGGAATAGGCCACTGTTTCTCAGGGCCTAGGTCAGCTACAGGTCCTCTGCGGGTCCCCACCGCTGTCCCCGTGGCTCTGCCTGCTGGGCAGCCCTGTGCTCTCCGCCTCTGCACAACCCCTGCCTCTCTGCACCATCGCTGTCACAGAGTCAATTCTCTGGAAGAATCGCATTTTCCGGTCGGCTCCCTCCTCACCCACATGTTGCTGGGAAACCCAGGCCCCAGGAGGCTTCTCCAGAGCAGCAGGAGGGGGCACCAGCACCCAGACCTCAGGGGTGCAGCCAGCACAGCTCCTGCAGGGTCCAGGGCAGGAGTATAAGCATGAGGAGAATGGAGAGAGACGTGCACACTCAGCTGGGGTTGCATTCTGCTCGGCTGTCCTGCAAGACTGGTGCCCCCACCCTTGCTGTTGTGTGGAGCTGCCTGCCACCCTTGCCCAGTTCCTGAAGACAGTACACAGAGGTGCTGGGAGAAGGCTCAGAGACAGGTGTCCCAGGCCACAGTGGAACCAACAGCGACACTGGGCCACTCTGGAGCACTGTGCAGAAGGGGCTCAACCAGCAAGGAGGGGGTGGATGATGGGCGGAGCGTTAGGGGTCGGGTAGCTGGATCTACTGCTCTGGGCCTGTCCCACGACATCCTGGAGCCTTGTTTGTCACACGGGCCTCCTTCAAGGACTGCGTTAAGTAAGGGTGGTTCATTTTCATAAGGTGCAGGGCTCCACAAAGCAACCCATAGTAGTCCACAAAGAGTGTGGTGCTGGAAACAGCTCCGGACAAGAGAGGAGGTGTCCAAGACCGAGGGTGCCCCCTTGCTGTGGAAAAGCACAGCAGCAGCAGTGTTAGCCCTGAGTCCAGGCCCACCCAAGGCTCTGCTCAGTTTCCTGATCCTGGAGTTAGCGACCCAATTAGTGAGCATTTGCGGGCTTTTTGCTGGGGGGAGGGAAGTAGGTCAGTGGTACCCCATTTCCAAAGAGATTTATTAACATAAAAGATGAAAACCTATTGGTGTTTAAAAAACTCATTTTTTGCATTAAAAATAACCCAAAATATATTTTTAAAAGGCTAAAAGGCCACACCACAAATATGGAAATTGTTTTTCCCTAGATGGGCACACACAGGTGGTTTTCTTTTTGCTGGATTGTATTCTCTATACAATGTTTGTGTGTGTGTGATTACAGGGGAAGGACCTGACTTCTGGTTAGATTACTCTCCCAGCATCTCAGCTCCTGGCTTCCTTGGTGTTCTCAGGTGGCAGTGGTAACCTCCGGAGACCGCTTGGGATCATCTGCCTAGAGCAGGTGGGGGAGAGGTTCCCTGTGGCCTCCAGGTGTTGGGAACCCTCTGAGCAGCCGCAGCTGTGGCGCAGCCGCAGCTGTGCGTGTTTACTATTTGCCTAGGGAGTGCCTTGAGCTGGTCTAGGTGCTGGGGTAAAGGAGTGCCCCAGGGGTAACATTTAAGAAAACGTTTTTGTGGGGGCCAGGGGAGGTTGTTGGGGACTAAACCCAGAGGCTTGCACTTTAAGACAAAAATACACCATAAAATCTTAGCTGGGGGTGATGGTGCTCACCAGTAATCCCATCACTCTTGGGGGCTGAGGCAGGAGGATCACAAGTTCGAGTCCAGCATAGGCCAGCTGGTGTGACCCTGTGCTGAAAAATGAGTGCTAGCAATGTAGATCAACATGAGGGCCTGGGTTCAATCCCTAGTTCTAGACAAAACAACCAAGAAACGGCAAGGCTTGCGCACTGGCACTGTGCGTGGCAAGAACACAGTATTACAAAGCAGCCGCCGGCTTCCAAACATTCAGAAGCAGCTGCACGGTCCTGACCCCGTGCCTTCCAGCCTCATTCCCTTGTTCGAACGGTTAGCTGCCTGCACAACCGGGCTTCCTGCCTTTGCTCGTCCGTGTGAGTCCCAGGCATCTTCTGCGCCGAGCTGTCCTAGGCGCAGGCCAAGGGCCCCTGCAGGAACAGTGACGTCGCCTGTTTCCTCTCCACAGACAGCGAGCTGGTGCTGCCCGACTGCCTGCGGCCGCGCTCCTTCACCGCCCTGCGCCGGCCGTCGCTGCGGCGCGAGGCCGACGACGCGCGCCTGTCCGTGAGCCTGTGCGACCTCAACGTGCCGGGCGCCGACGGCGACGAGATGGCGCTGGCCGCCGGCTGCCCGGTCCCGCAGAACTCGCTCAACTCGCGCCACAGCCGGGCGCTGCCCGCGCAGCTGGACGGCGACCTGCGCTTCCACGCGCTGCGCTCGGGCGCGCACGTCCGCGTCCTGGACGAGCACACCGTGGCGCGCCTGGAGCACGGGCGCGATGAGCGCGCGCTCGTCTTCACCAGCCGGCCCGTGCGCGTGGCTGAGACCATCTTCGTCAAGGTCACGCGCTCCGGGGGCGCGCGGCCCGGCGCGCTCTCCTACGGCGTCACCTCTTGCGACCCCAGCACGCTGCGGCCCGCTGACCTGCCCAGCAGCCCCGAGGCGCTGGCCGACCGCGAGGAGTTCTGGGCCGTGTGCCGCGCGCCTGGGCCCCTGCACAGCGGCGACATCCTGGGCCTGGTGGTCACCGCAGAAGGCGAGCTGCACCTGAGCCACAACGGGGCGCCCGCGGGCACGCAGCTGTGCGTGGACGCCTCGCAGCCGCTGTGGATGCTCTTCGGCCTGCACGGCGCCATCTCCCAGGTCCGCATCCTAGGTGAGTGGCTGTTCTCGGCAGCGGTCTACTGGGGAGTCAGGTGCCAAGGTGAGCACAGGGCCAGATTGGTCACCGAGTCCTCAGAGGATGCACGCCTCACCTGGAGGGGCACAGGCCCTGGATTCCACTTACACGAAGGTAGTCCAGATGCACAACACTTCAGGGGCCCTGCAAAATGCTGAAAAAGCCAGGGGGCCTGTAATACCAGCACCCTAGAAGGCAGGAGTCCGAGGATTGCAAGTTCTAGTCCAGCTTGGGCAATTTAGCGCTTTAGCCGGACCCTACCTTAAAGAAAATAAACACGAAAACATAAAAAAAAAAAAAAAAAAAAAGGCCGTAGCTCAAACCTGGCTTCACTCCCCCGTACTGCCCACAAAGTCGGGGCTGATTTCCACCAGCAAAGAGCTCTGTGGTGCTCGCTTCCGTGTGTGTGCGCGCACGCGTGCGTGCGCGCGATTCCTGAGTAGTGGCTCCAGAGAAAAGGGCTTGCAGAGTTCTGAGGCTTCCTCTTCTGGGGGCCGCGGAATTAGAGCATGGGTCTGTGTAAGTCGCATTCTCACATTGTCCTATGGGATGCTGAAAGTGGCCTTTGCAGAAGGGACCTTGTGGTTTGGAAAGTTTAGGAAACACCAAATGAAGAGGGAGGGGGAGAATTTACTGCAGGACTTCTTAGAGCCTTTAATAGGCAGTGAGAGTCTTAAGACCAGTGACAGAGATAGTTATGAAGTACAATTTTCCCAAAGGAATTTGTGTGTGTGCGTGTGTGTGTGTGTGTGTGTGTGTGTGTGTTGAGATAAAGTTTCACTGTGCAGCTCAGGCTGGCCTTGAACTCACTTTGTAGCCCAGGCTGGTCTCAAACTCATAGTCGATCTTCCTATCTCAGCCTCTCAAATTCTAGGGTCACAGGCATGTGCCACCACAGCCAGCCTGGTTTCCAGAGTAATTTGTCAGAAATCTGTTCTTCAAAAAACAAATCCCAGGCCCTCTGCCCTGTTAGACCAGGCTGGTTTCATGAGCCTCACATGGAGAAGCTCCTGAAGCTCAAGGTCACTGGATCTCACCTCCAGAGATCCCAGTTCTGGGGACCCTGGACACCTTCTGGGTGTCTAACTTTTTCTCTTTTTTTTGCCTGGTGCTCTAGTGTGCTAGGCAAGTGCTGTACTACTGGGCTACAGTGTCAAATCTCATTTTCATTTTTTAAGGCCAAGTGTGCTTAACCAAGTTTGGAGAAACCTCGGGCTGCCTAGCCTTTAGCCCAGGAGTGTGATCACCAGAATGATGAGTGCGAGTGTGTGGGGCTGCATTGTTGTGTGAGGCTGGCGTGTGGGTGGAGACACACTTGGAGAAGGGGTGGTGTGTGTGCGCCACAGTGTTGACACTTATATACTTGTGGAGTGCTTGTGTAACCAGATGGAAGCCATGGGAGACTTCCAGGGCTGGAGAGAAACCGGGGGAAGGGAGTGGAAAGTAAAAAGGGGACAGCAGGAGGTGAGCGGGGTATGGAGAACTGGGGAAGCCCAGTGAGGCAGGAGGAACGGAAATGGGGCACAGGAAGAGGGAGCAGGCTGGGGTGGGGAGGATGCAGGAGAAAAAATTGAATGGGAGGGGATATCTACAGGGGCAGCGCTTCTCAGGGAGAGGAAATGACGCAGGGTGAGGTACTCCTTTGCCTCAGCACCATCTAAGAGTAGATAAGAAGCTTTCCAGCAAGGCTTTGGTGCCCAAAGAGGTTTACGAGACTGATGCAAAGGGGGAATTTTAAAAAATCAGGCCCTTCCCTGTCCCCTGGGGTATGCAGGCCAAGGTGCTGCAGAGGGGCAGCGCCCAGAGTCCAGCGGTTAGAAGGGTGCTCCAGAGCTGCCGTGAGCTCTGGGCATCTAAAGCCAGCACCTGCCGCTGGGGACCCTGGCTGCCTCAGAGGAAAGTGGCTGTGCAGTGAGTGCAGGGCACTGGCTTCTTTTGCAGAGGGGAGCCTGACTCTGGAGAGCCTGAATAAATAACAGTAAAGATATGTCCTTCACCTATTTGCATCACAAATCCTGCAGCCAACCATACATTTATTGGTAGAACATTAGAAGTGGTCTGGCTAAAAATTAAAGTATAACAGGTCTACCTTATGTAGCTGAAGGTGTTCTGAAGTGGCTGGCAGGTGCTCATTGACTTAACATTAAAACAGGAAGAGAAACCCTATAAGCACCCAGTTGAATGTGCCTAAAAATAGTAACACTGGGGCTGGGGAGATAGTGTAGCAGACTAAGTGCCTGCCTGGCAAGCACAAGGACCTGGGTTCGATCCCCGGTACTGCATGCCATGCCGGCCCTGGGACCCACTGAAACCGGGTGTGGTGGCACATGCCTGTATTCCCAGGGGTGCGGAGGCTGAGACAGGAGGATCACTACGAGTCTGAGCTGCATAGTGAGACCCTGTACCAAATAAATAAAAGATTAAAAAATAAAGAAATAATAACACTGTTGTATGAGTGAAAAGCAGCAACAGTGAGATTTCCTGGTGCAGTGTGTTCCATCAGGGCCGTGGGAGGCTGCAGCTGGGCCAGATTCCCTGCTCTCAGAAGCTCCAGGGCTGGTTGTAGAAACAGCCTGGTGCCTGGGTGCAGAGGCCTCGCAGCCCGGCCTCACACTCAGCCCTGTGTTCAGCGTGGGTTGCGGCTGGTTGGTGATGGCACCTGCAGGTCCAGGGTGAGGGTGGGTCTGGGGTGGGGTTCCAGGAAGGGGCGGGCTTGGAGAAAGTTCCTGCGGGCAGAGGTGTTGGCAACCTGTGGATCAGTGAGGGCAGAGAGCAGTGCTGGCTGCTGGGCAGCCGTGGCGTCAGGCTTGGGCCCCGCTGCAAGGGCTGGCACTGTGGAAACAGCCTTCCTTCTCTCTCGTGCAGGCTCCACCATTCTGGCTGAGCGAGGCATCCCGTCGCTGCCCTGCTCCCCTGCATCCACGCCAACCTCACCCAGCGCCCTGGGCAGCCGCCTCTCTGACCTGTTGCTCAGCCCATGCAACTCTGGGCCTGTGGGCAGCTCTGCTGGGGGTGAGTGTAGGGTGCCACCCTGCCCCAGTGCCACGGTGGGTGTGGCTTGTCCCTCCTGGTCCCTCCCTGGGCAGCTTTCTCCAAAGGACTTTGCTTTCCTGTTGACAGCACAAGGGAGGCTAGTGGGTAGCTCAGAGGAGCTGCCTTAAAGGCTTTGGCCCCTTTCGTCTCCCTGTCTGCTTCCTCCCTTTCCTCTCTGCCTTACAGCTGCCTGGCCCCTAATCTGGACTGAGCGCAAAAGTGGGGCTGCTGAGCTCCCCGTCTTCCCCATGTGTTGGGGGGCAGGGCCTCCTCCCAGGAGCCTTGTACCCTCCTCAGCCATCTCTCCTGACTGGTGGCCCCTTGCCTCCAGGAACAGCACCCAATTCACCGGTGAGCCTGCCGGAGTCTCCAGTGACCCCGAGTGTCGGCCAGTGGAGCGATGAGTGCACCATCTGCTATGAACACGCAGTGGACACGGTCATCTACACGTGCGGTCACATGTGCCTCTGCTACGCCTGCGGCCTGCGCCTCAAGAAGGCCCTACATGCCTGCTGCCCCATCTGCCGCCGCCCCATCAAGGACATCATCAAGACCTACCGCAGCTCCTAGCCTGCTGGGGCGCCCCACTCCGCACACGCGCCTGCGCAGCCCAGCCCAGTTCTAGCTGAGGGGAGGGCCACTGGGGCCGCTTTCCTCCTGGAGACTGTCTCCTTTTCCACTAAACATGGAAAACAGAGGTCCCTGCAGGTCTGAGCAGACAAGCGGTCGGGCAGGAGTCCGTTGCTCCTGAGGAAAGGGAGGGAGCTGCCCTTTCCCCAGCTTCTCCCTGTGTGCCAATTTAGGCTTAAGTTGGGGTCTCAGCCTGTCCCAATCCTTTCCCATCGGGGCAAGTTCCTAGGAGGTCCTTGTGGTCTGGATGGCACTGTGGTGAGAACTAAGAAAATGCGTACCTTCCCATGGCCAGATGAGACCAGAGGCCAGGGCCTTCACCTAGGCCTGGGGTAGGGACTGGAATCCAGCCTCCATCAGCTCCTGCAGCCAGAGGGCCTTGAGCGGGACACAGTTGCTCAGGAGCAGTCCCAGGGGCAGCTCCAGAGCTGCTGTCTCATTCTCTGACCCTTTGCCCACCCCACCTCTGATCTCCCATCTTCCCCTCCTGGCCACTGTGGGTAAGATGGCAGCAGACTTCTCTTACCCTGGGCCGCACAGCCTCTGGGGATGGGTGGTTGGGTGGTCTGCAGAGGCCCCGGGGCTTGGGAAGACCCCTCCTGGTCTCAAGCTTCTGCCCCAGTCATCTCTCTGGGTGCTGTTGCCCAGGCTGCCCTTGGATGAACCTGGGCCACTCTGTTGGGCCTCTGGGAGCAGGCCTGTGGCTGCCCCTCAGGCCTCTGTCCCCTTTGAGAGGCAAATGAGTGGTCAAGAGGGGCCAGGATAGGGTGGAGCTTCTCTGGGCTACAACCAGCCCTTCTCCACATTTTAATTTATTTATTTATTTGGCTTGTGGGCTTTGTTGTTTGTGGGTCAGTTCCCATCCCCTGGGCCCCAGGAATGCTGGTGCTCCAGCCTAAGGGACCTGGAAGGGAGGCTTCCCAGCAAATTGTGTTCATTTATCAGAGAAGCAGGCTGAGTCTCCTGGGCACTTGGGGCTGGTGGGTCACCTAGAACCACAAAGCACACCCTGGGACTCCTGTATGGGAGGCAGGAAGGACTCTGGGTAAGGCTGTGCATCCTGGGAGGAGTGGGCCCCAGCTGGCTCCCAGCATGCTCTTCACCTCAACCCTCCTGGCCTTGACTGCCCAGTCCCTTCCTTGGCAGGCAGGGAGTGCACTTCTAGTCCCAGCTGCTCACCTGGATGGGCAGCCACCCTCAACCTCAGGCTCTGTGGCAACAGTGTCTGGGGATGGGACTGTGGGGGTGGCTCCGGGAGCTCCTGGGCAGGGGCTGCTGACAGGTGTGTGATGGGGTTCCAGGCCAGACCTCTGAATGTGCTAGCCTCATGGGAGGCTGGGAAGACACTGTGCCACTCCTGAGTGTGGCCTCAGCCAGCCAAGTGTGGCCTAGAGGGGAAGGAAGGTTGGCAGTGCAGGGGCTGTCTGGCCTGAGGCCAAGAGAAGCAGCTGTCACCTTTTCTGTTAGTGTTGGGGTTGTTGATGCCTCGTTGTGAACTTGGGTCGCTGTGATGTGAATAAAGGTGATTTCGTACCAGCTCAACAGCTGTGTGGTGCATGAGGGGGCTGGAGGGGTGGGTTACCCGTGGGTGGTGGGCCCGCAGAAGATTTGGAACCACCAGGCAGACAAGAGTTGGGGGCTAGACCCTGATCTGGCTTTGGAATGCCTGGAGGGGGGCTATAAATTGGGAGAAGCTATTGCTTTTTGGTGGCCTCAAGGTCCCAAGGTCCATGGGGATCAGGGTCCAATCTGGCCATGGAGCCTGTGGAGCAGACAGCGCCACCTAGGGGTAATGTGGGGGAGGAGCAGGCCTCCCCCAGGTGTCACTCCTCAGGGCAAAGGCCACCACCTGCCACCTGGGGAGAAAAGGGAGCCCTTTAGGTAGGGATTTTTTTTTTTTTTTAAATTTTAGTTGTGTGTGTGT